GGATCAGTTTCTACGTGATAAAAGTGAGTGCTTGCAGGAGGCTGAATTCCATACCACTGAGAGCATGGAGATGAAACTACTCAGCCTCAGGCAGGGCCGGTCAGGCTGGGTTTCCACCAAGAACAAAATAAGCAAAAATCCAGACTTTTTTAAAAGCAAGGTAACACATGTGAAAAGCCAGGAAATAAAAACATTCCTTTCCTTTATTCCATTAATCCAACAGTTTGATTCCAGGAAGTAAGTCAGGAGAAAGCCGTGTACTCATAGATGTTCATCGCAGCATCATTTGTGATCGTGAAACTTTTAAGGGGATGTAGGTGTCTGCTAGCCAAGGAAATTTCTATTAAATTGTAATCTCATTGCTTGGAGACTGTTTAGCTATTATAGAGTAATTACAGAAACTCTTAAGGAGGGTGGTGCAGAAAGGAAGAGAAAGAATGCAGTCAGCCATGGGCCTTGTGCATGGGTCACCCTCCTAAACAGAGTGAGGAAGATGTTAGTCTTTTACAGATGTTAGGGAGCCAGGGTGTTCAGGCACCAACCAGCGTGACCCCAAAGCCCATGTATTTTCCTGTCACATGAAAAACTGCTTGTGCTATGAAGTTAAAAGTGCAGTGGATAAATTTGTAGGGGTGTTTTCATGTGAACTATATGAGAATATTAACGTGCATTTAGAGTAAGCTAAACGAGCACATTTGCATCGCCCATTTGCGGGCACTGCCTTTTCCTCCCTATGTTTGTGAAACATGATTTTACTTTTACATTAATAGTAAGAAAGAAAACGGTGCATGTACACAAAACTGAATTTTTTGGTGAAATAGAAGTACCTACACAAGTTTTTGGTCTCTCCCCATGGTTTGTGCAGATCGAATGATTTATACTGAGCATTATTCCTATACTGTATTTAGCATAAACTTTGTTGCTGGAACTTTTTTGATCTTTCCAGAAGGATCAGTGGGAGGTTGTCACACAGCCACAGCACAGCTGCCACCTGGCTGGCAGCAGTTTCCAAGCGTTTTAAATGTGAGAGGGAGTCTCAGAATCCGTGCAGACTTCTTCTTAAAGGGGAAGTGCATGTGGCCCTGAGTTTTCTCTTCCTGTGCTAAAGTGGAGTTGTTCTCCTGAGCAGAGAGGAAAGATTGGTTTCTAAAATGTTAACTGTAAACTGCGAGGTATCAGCTTTGGGGGTCAGGGTTGAAACCCAGTAAGTTGACAGTTATGGTAAGTATATTAGGGTCTTTTAAAAGCTGCTCTTTTTTTGGGCGGTGGGGGACGGATTCCCTGGCGTTCCAGTGGTTAGGACCCCGCACTTTGGCTGCCGAGGGCCCGGGTTCAGTTCCTGGTCAGGGAACTAAGATCCCACAAGCCATGCAGCGCAGTCCCCCCCGCAAAAAAAAAAGCCTTTTCTTTTTAAAAAAAAAAAAATTATAGGGGCTTCCCTAGTGGCGCAGTGGTTAAGAATCCGCCTGCCAATGCAGGGGACATGGGTTCAAGCCCTGGGCCGGGAAGATCCCACATGCCGCGGAGCAGCTAGGCCCGTGAGGCACAACTACTGAGCTTGCGCGTCTGGAGCCTGTGCTCCACAACAAGAGAGGCCGCGATAGTGAGAGGCCCGCGCACCGCGATGAAGAGTGGCCCTCGCTCACCGCAACTAGAGAAAGCCCTCGCACAGAAACGAAGGCCCAGCACAGCCATAAATAAATAAATAAATTTATTTTAAAAAATTATAAAGAAATCATTAGTGAATACCTGTATATCTTCTGAGACTTTGAAGTTTCCACACATGAATATGTTGATCCATATTGAAAAGTAGGGACAGTGCGGCATCCTCACCATCCCTAGCCGCCTCTCTTCCGTTGGGCTCCAGTAGTGCTGTGGCGGGCAAAGGGCACTGACATTCGGTTATGACCCAGTTATGCGTTGCTTGGCAGTGCAGGAAAGACGCCATGGTTGGCATCTCACAGCTAGTTACGAAAAGATTTGATTGTTGGGAATGCTGGTGTCTGTGGTTATGATCTGACATATCAAGCTGAGACCTCTGATTGAAAAACCCCTAGGAGTTTTAATTGTTTATTTAAAGAGTCCTGATGTTTCCTTTTAGTCTTTTAAGAATCTTTTTTTTTTTTTTTTTTTTTTTTTGGCTGTGTTGGGTCTTCATTGCTGCGTGCGGGCTTTCTCTAGTTGCAGTGAGCAGGGGCTACTCTTCGTTGCGGTGCGCGGGCTTCTCATTGTCATGGCTTCTCTTGTTGTGGAGCACGGGCTCTAGGCACGCAGGCTTCAATAGTTGTGGCACATGGGCTCAGTAGTTGTGGCTCGTGGGCTCTAGAGCGCAGGCTTAGTAGTTGTGGCGCACAGGCTTAGTTGCTCCACGGCACATGGGATCTTCCCGGGCCAGGGCTCGAACCCATGTCCCTTGCATTGGCAGGCGAATTCTTAACCACTGTGCCACCAGGGAAGCCCCTGTTGTTTCCTTTTATATTGATAAATTATGCCTCTGGTGAGCCTGTCTATTCTGACTTTAAATAGGAGACTGACTTTCTGAGACATTAGTAAAATCCAAGATTTAAAAATTTTGTAATTTGATATAATTCAGACTTACAGAAAATTGCAAGAACAATACAGACTGGTATCTGTAATAGAGCTTATTTCAAGAAAGTCCTCTGATTGTCCCCTGCCCCTTTTAAGTTGTATAATTAACAGCTTAAAATGTGACAAGCCTCAATAAAGAATACAGATTCAGGAAATTTCTACATGTGTTTTTTAAACACTTGGGAGAAGACAAACATGTTATTTTTCTATAACATGTAAGATTAACGTGGCAGCACAAATCTAATAATATTAAATAGATACCGTTAGTATATACATTGTTCTTTTCCATTTCATTGGCTAATAAGACTAAATACAGGTATCCTATTTGTATTCTGTATACTTTCTGTAGTAGAGCCTTTACTGAGTACTTTATTATACAGTTTTTGTATATACTTTTTTTTTAATTGAAGTAGAATTGACCTACAACACTATGTTAGTTCCAGGTGCGCAACATAGTGATTTGTTATTTCTGTACATTACCAAATGATCACCATGGTAAGTGTAGTTATACCTGTCACCAAAGTTACTACAGTATTAACTGTACTCCCCATGCTGTACCTTTATCCTCCTGACCGTTTTGTAGCTGGTAGCTTTTACCTCTTCACTCACCTTTTTCACTCAGACCCCGACTCCCACCCCACACAACCACCACCTTGTTCGCTGTGAGTCTCTTTCTGTTCTGTAAGGTGTTGATTTGTTTTTTAGATTCCACGTATAAGTAAAATCATGTGGTATTTGTGTTTCTCTGTCTCACTCATTTCACTTAGCATGATACCCTCTACGTTCATCCATGTTGTCACAGAGGGCAAGATTTCATTCTTTTTTTATGACTTATATTCCACGGTATATATGTATCGTGTCTTTATCCATTCGTCTCTCATTGGACGCTTAGGTTGCTTCCACATCTTGACTGTTGTGATTAATGCTACAATGAAAATAGGGGGGCATATATCTTTTCAAATTAGTGGGTTTTTTTTTTTTTTTTTGGAAAAATACCCAGAAGTAGAATTGCTGGATCATATGGGGTTTCTATTTTTAATTTTTTGAGGACCCTTCATGTTGTTTTCTATACTTACTTTTCCACCAGCAATGTACGAGGATTCCCTTTTCTCCACATCGTCACCAACACTTGTTACTTGTTGTTTTTTTGATAATAGCTGTTCTGACGGGTGTGCAGTGATAATCTTGTTGTGGTTTTGATTGGCATTTCCCTGATGACCAGTGATATTGAGCATCTTTTCATGTATCCATTGGCCATCTGTATATCTTCTCTGGAAAAATGTCTATTCAGGTCCTCTGCCTGCTCCTCCCTTATTTTGAGGGCGTGGTCATGTGAAGTTTGTACTGTGGTGTTGGATCTTTCATTTATTTTTTCATTACCTTTTTTTTTTTTTTAGTTTTATTGGTGGTGGGAGGTTTATCCTCTTCCTCTTGATACCTCACCCCAGGCAATACCCAAAGATAGGCTTTCTGGGTGTTTTCCCTGAGCTGCTCCTCCTTTTGTCTCTGAGTGTTCCTGACCAGATCTCAGGGTGTTTGGAGAAGCTGGCTCCCTGGCAGTTTGCCGCTGACTCTCCCAGTGTAGCGCCCCGGAGGTTTACCCTGGTTGTGTTCTTTCCCTTAGCATACACTCACGGGACACAGTGGCAAAGTGCTGTCTGCCAAGTTCCTGCTGGACAATGCGCGTATTGTTTCTGGAAGTCACGACCGGACCCTCAAACTCTGGGATCTACGCAGCAAAGTCTGTGAGGAAATTCAGTCTCTCTGTGTCTATGAACGATTAGATATTAACCTCAGAGGTGTTTGTTTCCACATTAAAGCCTGCATTTAGTGTGATAAACTTTGAAAGTCCAGTCTCATGTTGAGTGGCGCTGATGTAGTGACTGTTTTTCAAGTTGAAGCTTCATTTAAATAAGTAGTTCTGATTACTTAGGGTGAGAGTGCAGCAATGTTATGTGCACAGCCGCAGAGGGGCCTCTGCTTGATTATTCATGTTCGGTTTTCTTTCAGGCATAAAGACGGTATTTGCTGGATCCAGCTGCAATGATATTGTCTGCACAGAGCAGTGTGTGATGAGTGGACATTTTGACAAGAAAATTCGTTTCTGGGACATCCGGTAAAACACCCAGGAGCTTGGTGGGGAGGCAGGTGGGAGGGTCTGTATGTGGCAGAACTGTGATGGTGTCTTCTGTGTGGGTTGTGTTTTTAAAATCCCTGGAAATGGCAGAAATGAGCTCCAGTCCACATTATCTTCCCAGTTTGATATTCTTTACCCTGAAGTAGACGGTCACATTCAACAGTCACCTCTGAGCATGCCCTATGTACTTACAAACAGATGAACAACAAGGTTGTTAGGGGGTTTCAAGTGTAATCGAGAAGACAGATACACAGGTCTGCAGGGTGTGCTGAAGTAGGGCCAGGAGCCCCTGTCCAAGGATGTTAGAGACCGTCTGTCAGGATGAGTCTTGAGAAGTGAGTAGGCTTCACGTTGCAGAAGAGCCACTGAGGGACATTCCCGGCCAGAACAGGGCAGTCTGGCAGGGCAGGGCAGGCGAGGGCAGATGAGAATAATAGGGCGGGTTGGGATCAGATTGCTGCGGGCTTTGGACACCATTGGTAGATGACTTGATCTCATAAGTCATTGGGTGTTTAGGAAAGGATTGCTTCATGAGAGTGTGGTAGATTACATTGGTGGCAGTTTTAAAGGGTGTACTGGGGAGTGGGAAATCAGTAAAGCATTGAGGATCTGAACTCAAGGCAGTGGAGGGAGATGTGGAGGGGGGATTTGGACGGGGTTTGTTACAAGTTGGATGTGGAGGGTGAGGAAGGAGAGAAGTAAAGCAAGATGCAGAATAAATGACAGATTTAGGAAGACGATGCAGTGAACATGTTCAGAAAAGGACATAAATTGGAGGTTTCTAGTAGACATTTGGAAAAACAAAAGTTTTGAGAGGTTGGCTGGGAAAAAAAATGAGACGTCCTCACAGGAGGACTTTGAAGACATGAGAGTGGATTAGTCAGAGCCCACCTGTGGAGCAACAGGAGGGCAGTACAGGGAGCTGCCCAAGGAGGGAGGAGTGGCAGAAAGGGGAAGAAAGCTGGAGTCCTGTTGATGGGCCAAGGTGGGGGCAGTAGAAGGGACAGGAGTCCTGTTAGGATGAGGACAGTTGGTTAGGAGGTAGGTAATTGGTGATTAGTTTCAGGTGTACTGGTTGGCAGACATTTGAACCGGGAGTAAGGAATTTTAGAGCTAAGCTGGATGTTAGAAGGCTCCTCCTGGTCTCCCCCGCTAATTTGACAGATGAAGACCCCAAGTCCCAGGGAGGTGGAGCGGCAACAGTAAGATAAACTCTCTTACTTGGTTATGGTTTGAGGTGGGAAATCATTTCATCGAAAGTTTACAACAGAATGAATGAGTCCAGAAGGGTCTGCACCTCCTTTGGCTATATCACCAACAGGGCCCAGCCCAGGACTGCTGAGCACAGACGTGGGTGTGGACTGCGGCCCAGAGGAGAGCTGGGAGAAGAAAAGGAAGGAGAAGGGGTTGCCAGGGTGCCCCGGTCCCACATCTGGAGTCACCGGGCTGAGTTGGAGGGTCCCCGAGCTTTACTTTGTATGACAGGAAGCCTGGAGAGTCCATATATTTGTCCATATAAGACAGCCCAGACCTGCTAAAGCGGTTTACAACCCTTCGGATAAGTTGAAATGATAAAATTGAAGTAATACTAATTAAATAGTAGCCCTGCTTAGTTCATGCTGATCAGAACCTCTGATTGGCAATTACTGTATCATTTCAGAAACAGGCAAGGAAATTACTCCTTACGAGTTTTAGAGCGAGTACTCACAACTACTGATAGAATCTACTGATGGGAAAATAGTAAAAGCCAGGGCTGAGATTATTTGTGTGGGGTCGGGAGCATTTTCACCGTCCTTGAAGAGTATTGCATTCTAGTTCAGTTGCCTTTTCTCCTTCCTCCTTTTCTCCGTGGCATGCCATCCTGGTTGAAATGGGGAAGTTCTGACCTTTCTGTGTTAGGTTTTCTCAGACTTTCCATCTTTTTCGTAGATCAGAGAGTATCGTCCGAGAGATGGAGCTCTTGGGAAAGATTACTGCCCTGGACTTAAACCCAGAAAGAACTGAACTCCTCAGCTGCTCCCGAGATGACCTGCTAAAAATTATTGACCTACGAATAAATGCTATCAGACAGACATTCAGGTAACTGAAGACACTCTGATTGGGTTTCATTTGAGTCTTGCTGATTTTTCAGAGGGTTGTAAGAAGGCCAGAAGCCTGACTTGCCCGCACATCCCAAGTTTGCATGGACTCTGGGGGTAACGGTGCCCTGTCGTCTGTTGCAGCGCGCCAGGCTTCAAGTGCGGCTCCGACTGGACAAGAGCTGTGTTCAGGTTAGTGGCGGTGCTGCTCCCGTCGCGCCCGCGGCCCCAGCGTGCTTCACCGCAGAGGTTAGAGCAGAGGCATCTTCCCACTGGGGACACGAGCTACATCTGTATGGTGCCTCCACACGCACAGGTGTCCAGGAACGAAGCTGCACGTTCAGTCCTAGAGGTCACTGTCACTGCTTCCTTCCTTTCTAAAGGTCCCTTCTGTGAATGCATGAAAATGTGTCCCAATTCAAAAACTAATAATGACTAGTTGGTTTGTTCTGGGTATATCAGGTTCCCCTCTCTTTACTCATTTACATGAGAACTCGAGAGCTTTTGGGGAAGGGTGGTGTCCCCTGGAACAGAGCAGAATAGGCTCTCCGGAGAGGGGGTGGTTTCCCTTTCCTGTTCTCCTTTCCACGCATGGCTGTTCTCCCAAATACATTGCCACGGTCACTGCCAATATCGTGGAGAAGCTTCTCTACAGTCGATGCTTCCTTCCTTTTCTGTTTTCACTGCACCGTATAACGAGGCAGTCCATCAACTGAAAGAAACCCTGCACCATTTGGGGGTTGACTTTGACCTCCCTATGTGCTATGTTTGAGTCTGAGAGATGCTTAGGGACTTGTGGCCCCAAGAAGTAATGCAGCGGCACCATTTTTCATTAGCTGGTGAGGCCAGATGATAGGGTGAAGCGGCTTTGGCCAAAGCGGTTGTGAAGAGCATCTTCTGGTTTCTGGGTACACGGGAATGGTCCCGTGTTTGACTCGTAAGTGAAGAGTAAACATGACTTCCTGGGGAGGGGTCCGGGAAGACGCTGAGTTGGGGTTGGGTGGTAGATGCCGTTTCTTGTCTCGTGTGTCCTGCAGCCCTGACGGCAGTTACGTGGCAGCAGGCTCGGCCGAGGGCTCTCTCTACATCTGGAGCGTGCTCTCCGGGAAAGCGGAGAAGGTCCTTTCAGAGCATCACGGGTAAGATGTCAGCCCCTCTGGGGTGGTGAGCAGGCCTGTGGCTTCATCCCAGGGGTCACGTCCTCTTCGGGCGTGGACCCGAGTCGACCCCACGAGGGCAGTGTCCACTCACGCGCTCTACTGTGAGCCAGGTTAGTCGAGGGAAGCTGGGGCCCTTCTCCCTGGACAGCAGACAGCAGCGTCCTGCTTGTTTACATTTCAGACTGTTCAGCTGGAGCAGTTAGGGTATGGCCACTGGAGAAGGTTAGAGCCCCACGTTCTGTCTCGCGTCATGTGGCGCCTCCTGCCTTGCTCCTGCCCCTTCACCGCTCTCTTTCCTCTCTGGCTCCCCTTCTCCCCCTTCTAATCCCCTTTCCTCAGGAAATCGACTGCTTGTAAACACCGATTTTCATGTGCTTTATACTTTCATCCAGGCCCCTTTTCCTCTCGGCTTTGTTGTGTCCCCCAAGCCCAGCTGCTCTTAGAACCCAGGCCCAGGGCCCCCCGGGACCACCCCTCACCGCCCTCGCTGTGGTGGTGCCTCCCCGCTCCTCAGCCAGTCACCCCAAGGTGCTCGTCAGAGGCTCTTTGCTTAACTCAGAGCTACTCCCTTAGGGTAGACTTGATAAGGCCTGACTCCTTTCATTCCAAACTACCTCCTAGAATCAAGGCAGGGTTCCTCCAAGTTCTTTCGCTCTCTAAGCGCCTGTCTGTGCGTGGGAGCCACACTGGCGAGTAAAACGGGCGCTGGGACAAACCTGACGCCCTGATGGCGAGGGAGCCCTGCGCTCGGCCCACGAATGTCTCACCCGTGTTCCGACATCTCTCTTTGAAGCTCAGCGATCAACGCCGTGGCCTGGTCGCCTGCTGGCTCCCACGTCGTCAGCGTGGACAAAGGAAGCAAAGCTGTGCTGTGGTCAGAGTACTGAGGGCACCTCGTCAGGAGAGAGCGGATCAGAAGCTTCAGGGGCACGCGGGCCCCACGGCTGTGTCCTGGCAGGTGGCGCCTGGGCTGTGGCTTTGACCTCCAGAGAAGAGCTCGAGCCGTGGGGCGCAGTAGCCTGCCTTTGAGCAGGGCTCCCGAGGGTCGTGGCTGAGGTTCCGTGGCCCGAAAGAGTAACACTGAGAAAAACCTGACGCCGCGGTCGCTCAGCAGAGGTTCAGGTTCTTGCCTTGACTCAAGTGGGAAACACTACTGGCTCTGATCTTGCATACCTCAGCGGGGGGAGCGCAGGCACCTGCCGGCTTCTTCCCTGGGCGGCGGTGCCGCAGACGCCCCCTGCACTGGCTGTTGCTTCTCCCCTGTGCTTTCTCCCGTCCTTCCAAAGTCGGTTCTGGCCTGATGAAGGTCCTGTCACCTTGGGGTCATTTTCCCAGGGAACTTGCTTTAATCATGGATTAACAGAAACCCAGGTGGGATTACCCCTGCCCTCAGGTAGCCCACAGGGACGGTGGGACTGTGGTCCCCCCTGCTGGTCTGTGTCTTTATTATGAGGCTCTTACTCTGATCTCACCTGATCACTGTTGGAATTTCCTTAGGCCTCCTAAACTGTTCTTAGAAAGCAACTGTTCTTCAAAACTCCTTCCTCCCTCCCCTCCCCCCCCCCCCCCTT